TAACGATTTCAGAAACTTAACCAGTCTGCCTATTTCTATTCCAGTAAGACCTTCACCATAAAAATGTAGAGTTCTTCTATCTTCTAACAGGCTCTGTTGGTAAAGACAACTTGCTACCTCCAAAAGTATAAAGAAAAAGAATAAAGCCTCCAAAGAATAACCTATATATTACTACTTGTGCCAATGAACTCCGGGGGAAACTCTATGTAAAATAAACCACAAAACATTCAGTATCACATATTCACTTTCACACATACTACCGTGTGCGTGTGTGTGTGTGTTTAACATTTTAGAAAGTATGTGCGGCCTGAAGCGAATCACACAAAAACAGTTTGCATTTTCTCATCCAGAATCTTACATTATGAAAACTTAAAACGTCTATGATTAAATATGAATTCCTTCCAACTGCCTTATCTTGCAGGTGTTGGTTTTTTTTTTTTTTTTTTTTTTTAAAGCAAGCAATTAATTACAGTTCTCTCTAACCTTTTGGGCCCAGGGATCAATGTGTTGCTATTAAGCTGCTCAAAATGAGCAAATTACTTTGGTAAATGATAGAACTTCATTATTAATATAAATAAGAGAAATTTTTATGATACTTCATATGATTGTTAGTGTGTTATCTGCAATTCATGGTGTTTTATTTTTCCAATATTATCTTTTTCTTGAAACAGCTGAGCATCAAAATTTTATTTAAATAAATGAATGGAGTCTAAATGGGCCATCCACGTAGTAGTTTCAGGAATCTTAAAAACACCAGTAAAGGAAGAAGAACCCCACACATACACGCACACACAATACATAAGTGAAATCCCAATTTAGAGTAAATAACCCACAAATAAAATCATTAGATTCTAATATTCCCTTTCTTCAGAATTATTTATCTTGGTAAACAATCTTTCCAGTAGCAGTCATCTTTCTGCAAGTAATTTGAGACTTGTTGAATATCATTTAAGAGACAAGTCATATTTGCCTTAATCTTGGTTTCATAAAAAGCAGAAAAATCACCAAGTTTAGAGTGTTTCTGGCATTGCAGCTGCAGTAAAGTAGAATAAAATATCAGCATCCTGAAGTCGACCAAATACTCGGTTTTTATTATTATTATTAGTTCCACTTGCTCCAGATGAAGCTATCTGTGCAGCTCCTTAGCATGGCCTGGGTTTTCTTTGTAAGCACACACACACTCAAACACACACAGGCAGGTCACACAACAACACTAAATAGCCCTAGCTGCTTTCAGCTTCGGGAGCCCCTTCTTCAGGGCTTCTGTAACTTGGGTCTACAAACTTTTCTAGGTCTCTGGGTAGAAGTCATACAATTTGAGGCACTGGTAAACAAGAAGTGCATGAACTAGATTTAATTTGGTATGTTTCATATCTCATTTATCATATTTTCAAGACTATCTCAGGACATAAGAAAAAGTAATCTGAATCCTTAAAAAGGGGCTTGCCTTCTAAAACTGTACCAACCTTTCTTTATACATGTAAATAACAAAACAAAACAGAAAACCCAGTTACTCCTAGAAGTATGGGTTATATGTGGGGAGAAGAATGAGATTGCTGAATTCACTGCAGAAAAGGTGACTTTTAAAAGGTAACCTTGAGTTATGTCATGAACTTTCAATTCTATTTATCTCACAACTACTCCCAAATAAAAAGAACTGGAGTATACTAGGCCTCCATCGGGGTGGATTACTTGTGTACTAATATTACAACACACTAAATCCTGAAACCCTATTACAAAATCTACCCTCTAGGCAACTTCTCCCAAACTTATTGTTCAACCATGTAAAAACAGTCATAACCTAAAACCATTACTACTGAAGAAAAAGAGGAGGGGGTGGGGAGAGGTGAGGAGAGACGGCTGGGAGGGGGTGTTTCCTAGAGAGCCCCTAACAGTTTACTGCTTCTTTAGGACAATGTACCAGCTTTGGGGAAGAAAAAAGAAAGGAAGGAAGAGAAAGAAATCAAAAGAAGGAGAGAAAAGAGAAAGGAAACTTGATTCAGTCAATTAACTAACTTACCTCAAAGCTCAAAAAATGTAAAAAAAAAAAAAAAAGTACTAATAAAGAATAATGGTAAGAAGCAGTGAACTCCTTTAATACTATTGCTTTATGAGAAAACTTAACTATTAAAAATTCCTGATCCAGAATTCTAAAGGCAAAGGTCTAGCACGCATCATTTATCCTCGAAGGCCGAGACTTTTTTGTTTTAATGTAGAAAATAAGTACAAATTTACAAACACACTAGAAAACGCTCTCTTATCTCTAGTTTGCTTTTTTATGTACAAACTGTAAGCTTGTGCAGTTTTCCGGTGCAAAAGGTCTCACCAGAAACTTTAGAAAAGATGGGTGTGGGTGCGGGAATCAGAAGAAACTAAACTGAGAAAACCCGGAAAAATACTCGGCGCAGCTGCTGCGGCCTTGGGTCATCTCACCTCTATCTACCCCGCGTGCTCGCTTTCCCTTGGGGTGGAAAGCGGGGTTCAGGGGTTCTTTTCAGCGTACTGAGAAATCGCAGAGGCCCTGGGTAAGGATTCAAGCTTGAGGAAATACTGGGGGCCGGGAAGAGGGTTACTGTAAACCATTTTCTTGATTGATTTCAAGTCCCCCATTTTCTTACAGGGACCCCAAGTCAGGACTCCCTTTACCCGACAGCAGGAGTAAAGGGAGCCAGGGTCCCTTCGCTTCACTGCTTCTCGGCTCTACCCTGAGGCGGGCCGCTGGGAAAAAAGCCGGGGACCTCGGGGCCCGGGCGGCCACTGCTTACTGGACTGAAGTGCTGATCAGGGGCACGCTTCGGAGCTCTGTCTGGGCCCAGCTCTCTCCATCACATCTCAAAATGCCGCCAAGGACGCGGGCATCCCGAGCGGCATCCCTAGCCGCTGAGCCCCCGCCGAGGCTGCTCCTCGTCTGTCCTCGTGCAGCCGAGGCCAGCTTCTTGCCGGGACTACCCGGGGACCCGAGCCCGAGCGCCGCTGCAACGACTTGGGCTCTAGGCCTGGGAGCTCTGAGGCCGGCACAGTGAAACACCTTTAGGAGCAAGGAGGGATTCCAGGTGTCCTCCCTCCGTACCCCAACTCCCTGCCCAGATCTCTTGCACTGTCTGCCATAGCTCCCGCACACAAACTTTGTTCTGGACTTGTTCAGCCCCTTCGGGACCCACAGTTGTCGCCTCCATCGGAGAAAGCGAGTGCTCCTGTTTCAGGGGGGATTCCACTCTGGCTGGCCACCCCCAAAACCTGAAAAACTATCCTACGACTTCTTTCCCGACTCGCCTGGAAGTAGGGAGCACTACAATCCGCAGAGAGAGCATACCGACCATAAAGATTTTGGGGGGCAGAGGGTACAAGTGTTGGAAGAAGAGATGCCGGGATAAACTTTGGGAGCCAGATCCGACACTTCCCCCGTCCATTTGCACAGTCTCCGGAACAACTGGCGGCAAGCGGCACTCTCCACTCCGGCCGCGATCCCAGAGAGTCAGGAGCGGGCGCCCCAACACCAATCCCCACCTTCTTGCAGCTCTGAACCTCCAAAGGCACCCCCGTTTTGCCGCGAGGGCCGAGGAGGAGTGTGTGCGTGGGGCAGAGGGGCGCAGCAAGCTCCCCCTACACTCGGAGTTCAGCCCGGCGCCCGAAGTAAACTTCCTTCCCGCTGGCAGCAGGGCCGGGCGGCACAGACCCGGCCGGGGGCCCCCGATCGCGGCGCGGGGAGTGCGAGGGACCCCGCGCCGTCAGACGGGGACGACCTCCGCCTGCACCCACGCCTTATGGGGCTCCCGGGTCCTGGCCGCCGCTGGGATCCCCGGAAAAACCAGGATGGAGTAGCCAGGCCGGCTTGCCCGCCCTCCTTCCCCCGGGAGGACCCAGCAACTCCGTAAAGATCCTGCAGGGAGATGTGCTCGCTTTCCCCGGGGCAGCCGGGGGAAGCCCAGCAAAGGCACATTGAAAATTAAAAAGAAAAAAAAAAAATCACGCCAAGTGGAAGAGTCGATCAGGGCCGCGGTGGGGTAGGGGGTGCGGGGGCCAGCCGCGTGTGCGTGGGTCCGAGTGTTGAGTGAGTGTGAGTGCGTGTGTGTGTGTCCACGACGCGGGCCGGAGCACTCACCATCTCGCCGGGGGAGCGAGGCCACTTCGGGGTCGGATTGGAAATGTTGAGGCTTCGCTTGCTTCCTCCGCGACATGCTGGCTCAAACATCAGCTGGGGCAGAATAAAAAATTACTAAAAAAAAATCTTCTCAAAATTACGGAAATCGAGCGGCGGCGGCGGCGGCGGCTCCCCCCGCCCGCCGGCCCGCCCGCCCCCTCCCCGGCTCCCCGGCCCCGGGCGCAGCGCGCATGTGTCCTTCTATAATTATGATTATCAATAATGCATTGCGATTAATCATAGAGGGGCTCTTTGAAAGGCGATTGGCACCGGGCCAGCGCTATTCAAACCCGCTCGCCTTAATCAATTAGTTCGTGATTTGCTGCAGACCCCTGTCTCTCCGCGCGCTGGCCCAATAAGCCGGCCGCGGGGCTGGCTCTGCGCTCCGCGCCGCCCGACACTGGGTTAACCCTCTTTGCGACCGCCCGAGACTCCGCGGCCTGGCCACAGGGGCCCGGCCTCCTCTCCACTGCGGGCCCGGCGCCCCGGCCGGCGCCCCCCGCTCCCTCCCTCTCCCCTCCCTCCTTCGCCTCCCCATCCCAGGCTGGGCCGACCCAAATTAGCATGCCCTCCCCGGAATTGAGCCGCCCCGGGTTGGGGGCGGGGGGTGGGGCCGGGGCCGGGCAGCAGGGGCTGGGGACCCGGGCAGCGGGCGCCCTGCGAACTTCCCAACTCGGGCGCGAGGCGCGCTGGCCTGCGGGGGGAGGGAGTCCCGCGGCGGGATTTGGGGGAAGGGCGTCCCGTTTCGTGAGTGTTTCTTCGTTTCTTTAAGAGCTACCAGAAAGCAGCCCACCCCCACCCCATAAAAAAAAAAAAATAAGAGAGTGGGGAAGAGCCAGCCCCACGCCGGTCCGCCTCCCGCCCACGGTTCGGCCTCCCTCCCGCCTGGCTCGGCGCTCCTCCGCCCGAGTTCTCCATCCCCTGGATCCCGGGCTCGCGGGGGCGCGGAGAAGAGGATCCAGGAAAGGTTTGGGAACCTGATGGGTTCGGCGGGGGGGGGGGGCGGGGGAGGGGCAGCTCTCCCGCCACCCCATCCTCTCCCGGTCAGGGGCCCTGATCCTGCAGCCTCTGGCTTGCTCCCTCGCTCCCTTTCTCTACCTCGGACATTCCCAGGACAATTAGGGCTGAAGTTTTCGGGAGAAGCGGCCCCGAGCCCGTGGGATAAGGGGGCGGCCCGGCTCCGCCCAGGACCCCTCCTGGACCTCCCCCCCGGCTGCCCGGGTTGGCTGCAGGGCGCGTCACTCCGTGGGGAGGCGGCGGCAGCGGTGGCGCCGCAGAGCCCCGGGCGGGCTGAGAGCCGGGACCGGCTAGGGCTCCGAGTTCAGCTTCGGCCGGGGGGAGGGGAGGGGCTGCCGCACACCCTGAGCGCAGCAGCCAGCCCTGGCCTAGGGAGGCACAGCCCGGCCGGACCAGGTCCTGGATTGGGCCAGTCCCCGGGACCCCTGGGCACTCCGCCCTGGGAGGGGGCCGCGCCCCAGCTTTCGGGGACGAGGTGGCGGCGGCGAGCCGGGAAGCGGCGGCGGGGGGCGGGGAGGGGGAGGCTCTGTCCGCTGCTGCCTGGCGGCGCGGAAGCTCTCCTCCACATTTCGGGCACTTGCCGAGAGCGGCGCCCAAACTTTTTGCTCTATCACTATCTCTCCACGCTGAGATGCAGCCTCCCTACCCACATCCCAGAGCCCAGAGCCGGGAGCCCGATCCCTCTGCCGGGCTCAGGCGCCCGCGAACCTGACACTCGGTCCGCGGCTCAGCCTAGCTCTTTCCCCTCGCGCCTCGGGGTCTCCTCTCTCCAAAGTTCCCGAAGTCCTGCGCCCGAAGGACTAAACTAAACTAAACTTCGACTGAGTAATGGGGGAGGGGGGTTGCAGATACACAATCCTTGCCCTATCTCGCGATCAGGAAAGGAGAGGGCTCATAAGGACGCCCCAATTCGCGAGCGCCCGTGAGTCTGGTCGGTTCGCGCGAAGTGGGCACCAGTCTCCCAAGCCAGACTTCGGGTACTCAGGATCCGTACTGCACTCCTCTAAAGGACCCTTCCCTTTCTCTTAGCTTTTTAAATCTTTTATTTTCTTTCTTTCTCTCTCTCTCTTCCTTCCTTCCTTCCTTCCTTCCTTCCTTCCTTCCTTCCTTCCTTCCTTCCTT